TGAATGCTGGCATGATAACTATTGTTGTAGGAAAGTTCAATGAGTGGAAAATGATCATCCCAACTACCATTGAAGTCAAGAACACAAGCACGCAACATATCCTCAAGTGTTTGAATAGTCCGCTCTGTTTGCCCGTCAGTCTATGGATGGAGGGATGTACTAAGATTCACCTAAGCACCCAAACCTTGCCGAAAGTTTTTCCAAATTTTAGCAGTGAAATGTGCCGCTCGATCTGAGACAAAAATCAACTTTTAAGGCAAAAATTCTTATTTTCATTAGTTTTTAACATAAAAGCTTTCCGGAAACATGCCCGGACTGCGCATGCAAATCGAGGAGGGTAAAAATGAGATTTTTAAGGCTTAAGAGCGCAGATTTGAGTATTTCGACATAACACATAAATATGAGTATTTCGACAATTAGTGTGGTTTAAAGAGCATAATAAAGTAGGTAACGTAAAAAGTTAAATGCATTATTGGGCTAATTTACTTAATAAAAAACAAGCCAAAAATTCAAAAAATTGAGAATAAAGGATAAATAAGAATTCTAGTTTAAGAGAGGTGACACCTCTCTTAAACCCTCCTTTATATAGATATGTAGATGTAGATGTAGATAGATTTGTTGTTTAACTGTGATACTTGAATGTGTACGATTGTGAAGGTAAAGTATGATTTTTTTCTCTTAAAATCTTGATAAATCAAACTAAAAGTGAAGGGAAAATAAACCTTGTTCAAATCCTAGTAACAACGAATACTAAACTCGAACCACTGTAAATGCAAGACAAAGTTAAATAAAATAAGATAAAACTAAACAAAAATACCAAAGATTGTAAAACCAGAGATTATTTACTATGTTAACAATTTCATTTCTTTTTATATGTGAAACATAGGGATGTTCATTGGTCGGTACGGTGCGGTATTTAGTCAGTTCGGTTCGATATTTTTGGGATTCGATTTCTTAAAATGATATACCAATACCATACCAATAGCTATTCGGTATGGTTCGACTTTTCTCCTTTCGGTTTCGATTTATTCGGTTCGGTAATTTTGGTTTATTCAACTTGAATAGTAACTAATGCATAGAACTATAGAATGTGATATTCTTAATTAAAGTACTCACTGAAAACGTTCTAAGCTCACCTGACTGTCGACAAAATCTTTGTCTAAAACCATCAAGTATCAACTAAGAGAAAAAAGGTACGTAAAGAAATATATTTGATCATAGCAAATATCATATTACTTGCTTAGAGTTAATTGTTGAAATTGGAGAATACAACAAGGATTAATCCAACATATGCGATAACAATGCATATTGATTTTGTCCATGAACGTACTACAAGTCTATAAAGCTATTTGAAACAAAAAGTTTTTATGTAATTTCAAGCACATATCACATATGGTATGGAATAAGTATGTAAGAAGCACAATGGATATTTTTAAAAAGCAAATTAACAAAAAAAAGTAAAAAATAAAATAAAAATGCGTTATAAATGCAAAGTACAACAACTTTATTCCATAGTCTAAACAAAAGATTTTGAGAAAAAGGAAAAAGAATCTTTGTTGAAAGGAAACTTATTAAGGCAGCCTAAATCAGCTAGTTATGTCAAAAAAGACACTTTATTACATGCTTTAATTCTTTCCTTCTTTATTAAATCAGTGCTAATTAATATAAACATTGCAAAAAATGAGAATTACCATATCTTAGACTAGGAAAGCAGTTTTAAAATTAAGGAAAAGTCAAATTCAAGAAAAGAGAAAAGAAAAAATTGAAATGAAATGAGGAAATAATTATATTCTTATGGGAAGAGAGGAACGAGGAACTGCCTTTTCGTTCCTATTATTCATTTTGATACCTTCTTAATTATAAACAGTTCGAACATTCAATGCCCATTGCCCCCAAACGTAAGTCCTTTTATTAACATATTCTTTTCCTAAATTTCCAATATTTTCTTAGGCGGTTTTCTTTCATTTGGTAGTTTCTCCCTCAACATATGGTAATTCTTATATTTAGTAATATTTACAATTAATTGCATGAGTAAAAGAAAGAAGAAAAAATAAGGAAAGAACTAGGCTATTAATGCCTATATAAACATTAATGGAGTATATATCTGTAGTAAAGTGCTTCTTTGACACAAAGTGAGCTAGGCTTCGTTAACGTAAGCTTCCTTTATCTGATTATATCTCGATCAGTTCTTTGTTTTTCCTTTAGACTTTGCAATAATGTTATTGTTCCTTGTTATATAATCTGTCACCTTTTCTACGTTCATAGACGAAATCAATGTCTCAAAAAATAGGTCAACTTAGTGCACAAAACATTTCATGTTCATGCAAGATTTGAGTAAGAATATTGCACCCAGAGGGGTGTTATGTATAGTCTACCCTAATGTGAGATTTAGTGGTTGCTTCCACGGTCCGAACTCGTGACCTATAGATCGCACTGAGACAACTTTACTATTTCTCGAAATCTTGCCTTCAATATGTCATAAGAAAAAGAAAAGAAATTGTTAACGTAGTAGAGAAGAATCTAATATTACTATCTTTGATATTTTGGTTTAGTTTTTCATTAACTTTGTTACTTTTGCATTCACAGCGATTGGAGGTATTTCGATATATACATACCAAATTAAAGCAAGAATGTCATCCTCAAAAGGCAAAGGAATTCAGAAGATATGGGAGAAATTGGTAGGTAAGAGAGAAGAGATAGACAAGGAAACAAACGACCTTAAAGAAAGTGGAAGTTCGACAAAAGAAAAATACGAGAAAACAAGTGAACTATGGAAGAAAATGGATAAGGCTGACAAGCTCGAAGATAAACTAGAGAAAAAAGGGGTTCCAAAAAGATTCATATAGCGCTATTTATCAATTGCTAGTTATTACTAAGATGTTTACATTCTATTAAGTTTAGGGATTTAGGATTTTCCTAGATTTGTTACTAGGAATTCAAGTTTATATTCCACTAGTACTTTATGTTCTGTTTTCTTTATCATTTTTAGGTATTTAAATAAGAGTGAATACCCTAAAATCCCCCTAAACTATTCCTACTTTAACTATTCGGTGTCCCCAAAATTTCCTTGAACTATATTGCCCTTAATATTAAAATCCCTCATTGCATTCTTAGAGGTGTGTCTAGTACACGCTCCTAATTGTCTAAAAACGTGTCATTTAGCACTACACGTGGCTATTTAACTCAGCCTAAAACCCGCCTAAACTATCATTTTTTTGTCAGTTACCTACTTAAACTATCTAGTGTCCCCAAAAATCGCCCCTGAACTATATTCTCCTATATATTAAAACCCCATGTTGGACTTTTAAAGGTACGTCTGTCTAACTATATTAACTTATGGTTTGTACAAAATTTTTATATAGTTTACTCATGATGTATTACTCTCGAATGATTGATTAATTCTAGGAGTTTTGGCCAAAATAATATCTAATGTACTGTGTTAATGTTAGTTTAATTGTGATTGTGCTTTATGCTAGACTCCAATTGATAAGTCCTTATTTATATTCACTTTGTAGCACAGTTAAAATATAAATAAAGGTATATAATGTTGTATTTCTTAAAAGTCATCTTATATTACATTAAAAAGATTACAGAAAATAAAATTTCGCAAATAAAAAATCAGTTGCCCAGCAATTACATTCTCTAATTCCAGATTACATAAAGAATATTCAAGAGATTCAACTTTATCTTTACAAGGTGTTGAGTTCAATAAGAAGATTTAAAATAGTATTCTTTCAACAATGTGTAAGACATGAAAGAAGACTAGAACAAGAAAGAGAATAAATAATTTTAGAGGAAACAAGAGAGGGAGAAATTTTTCCAGAGGAAACTCATATGGAGAACTAAAGAAAAAAGGTTAAAAAATAAAGAAGGTGAAAAACAAAGAAGAAAGGTGAAAAAATAAGGAAGAATGGTGAAAAATGAGAAAGAAATGTGGATATAACTGAAATAAGGAGAATATTTATTTTAAAAAATAAATTTGAAAGAGGGTTAGGCTAATTAACCATTATTTTCTGTTAGGTGGACCATTTTGATTGTTTTTCAGCTACCACGCGCTCTCAAGCGAGTATCTATACATGTTATGCCAGATCAGTGACCATGGGGTTTTAATACGAGCGGCAATATAGTTCAGGGGGGTTTTGGGGACACCGAATAGTTTAAGTAGGAAACTGACAAAAATATGATAGTTTAAGGAGGTTTTAGGGTATTAACTTTTTAAACAAAGGAAAGTTTAGTTTACCCTTGCGCATGCCACTGATTGAGAATCGATCTGCCTTATAACTATTATCACAAAGTTTTAAATTTCAGTAAAAAAAGAAAAGAAAAACTTTAATATCCATGCACGTACACTAGAGAGTTGGTTGCTTCTTTTCTTTGATTTTGTACATGCACGTACTATAACGCTATTTGGAACTAAATTTTGAAGTACTTTCAAACATATATGGTATGGAATAAATAATTCTATAAGAACTATATAATCAATAATGCAAAAAATAACAAATTAACAAAAAAATATTTTAAAAAATAAGCATATTAAACTGTAAAGTACAACTTTATTCCATATATAGTCTTATGCAAAAAGCAATATATTACCAAATAAAAATTTTAAAAAAAGGAAAAAAATTTCAAAATATGGTGATTTTATTTTACAATTAATTGCACGAGTTAAAAAGAGAAGTAAAATAAGGAAAGAACTAGGCCATTGTTATCTATATAAACAATGGAGTATATGCCTCTTTTACACAAGCTGAGTTAGGCTTTGTTAATGTAACCATATTTCCTATTACGTTCATGGACAACATAATATGTTTCGGCATAAGAAAAGAAAAGAAACTGTTAAAGTAGTAGAGAAGCAACCAAAACTCTAGCTTTATTACGATATTTTGGTTTAGTAAATTTATTTTTAATGTTATTTAACTTTGCTACCTTTGCATTCGCAGTGGTTCAAGTTTCACATATATACCAAAAGCAAGAATATCTTCCTCAAGAGAAAGCTATGAGAACATGAAGAATGAGTTGGAACATGTGATAAAACAGATACAAGAGAACATATACCTCTTTTTCTCACCAATATTTTGTACTCGCTTCTAATTTTATTTTGTTCATAGACACATTGATCTCTTCATTACATGGCACAACTCACAATATTCAAGAACTTATGTTAACATATGCTAATAATACCAGTTCATAAATTGCACTTAATGTAACATCATATGCCTGAGCCCCGGGGGAAGCACAACGATGGGCTCATTATCTACTGAATTTCAATCCTTGCGCCAATGGTCCTCGGACATATACTAGTTATTCAGCACTGGCATTACCTATGGATAGATAATCACTTCTAGAGCACCTTGTTTTCACTAGTTAACCCGTAGCCGAATGGAAATAGAGGTTCATAGGAGTTCTGTTCTTGGTGCAGGGGCAGTTGATCTACACTTTTAAACCATGTCATAGGAAGTCTACCTTGGAACTCATAATCTCCAAAGACGACATCAGCAATTCCAGCTCCCTCGGTGCCCGGTAACCAAGCAGCGACGAACGAATCCATTTTCTCTAGAAGTGAAGGCTCTATATACAAAGGCCTTCCGGAGATCAATATCACCAATGTAGGAACTCTGTCTGTAACCAAACAAATTAGTTCTTCCCCACCAAGAGGAATTTTGAGGTCCTGGCTATCTCCACCGCTCTCGCAATAAGGAGGTTCACCAACAACTACGATGGAATAAGAGAAGTCTTGACTCGCAAAAGTTTCAGGTGACGGATTTGCCTCATATACCAATTCTGTTTCCCCTCCAACAGCATCTTTAATAGCTTCCAGAATTGTTGTACCTACAACAAATGATCCTTTATAAATATGAGATACTAATTAACCTTTTAAGGATTTCTGGTGAAGATTTACCTGAGAAAGTGAGTCACTAAGGTCATATTTGCATATTACTTCATCTGTTTCTTTTTATATGGCGGTGCTTGACTGCGTACGGCAGAGTATTCAAAAGCGAATAGCACAAAAAAGTGCCAGCGTCTGTGGGAGCTTTAAGCGCAAAGCTCAATTGAAGTGTCGGCTTTACCGAAGAAAAGCTCGAATGAAGAAAAAATAAAAAATAGAAATGCAATGCAAGAAATTTTAACTGTAAAGACAAATAATAATTATCTGGACAAAAAATGGAAAAACTCGAAGCGCACAGCATGAGCTTCACTGAGGTTCATGGCTTAAGCGCTTTACGTGAGCCTTTAACAATACAGTGTACATCTTACGTCACTCTCTTTAGAACAGACTAACAAGGAAAGAGTATCACATAAACTGGAACCTGGAATACAGGCAATAAGTAACAGGCAATAAGTAATTACTTACCAATAGTGATTCTTCCACCCATTCCTTCCCAAGTTTTAGTCCACCCTCCGCATTGGAATCCAAGGTCATCAGCATGTTTTCCTGCTACAAGAATTTTCTTCGCATTCCTCTCTAGTGGAAGAAATGGTTTTGTTACATCCTTTCCATTCTTTAGAAGAACTAACGACTTCCGAACTGCCTCACGTGCTAGTTCCCGATGTTGCTGAAAGAATTATCACAATGGTAGAAGACTAGTATGAGACATCTGCAGCCCCACATGCACATAAACTCCATTCTCTTATCCAGTTTCCAGAAAATATTATTTTACAGAACAAACAGAATTAGCAATATATAAGGGCATTGTAAAGACAGGAAAAACAGTCTGCCATTTAACATAATTAAACTTTTGTAAGTGCAATAAAAAGCAGATGCTCCTTTGTTGGCAATAAAAGCAGATTACTTCAAGGGTGTGTATGGTATGGAGGAAAAGTGAAAAACTAAATGTTTCCCAATTTTCCCAAGTTTAGTTGGTCAAAATGTTTTTCCAAACATTCTTTTTAGGAAAACAAGTTCCTTACAAATCAGGAAAATGACTTAACTGGTGGGNACTCCCTCACCCCCACTACCCTAACCAGTAGCCTCACCCCCATATTTGCCCAATATATTAAACGGCAAATGGTCAAATATATCCTGTACTATCAAAAATTGTTTAAATATATCCTCCATTTCACTATCGGACCAATTAACACCCTACTGTTATACTATGGAACATATTTACCCTTAATTTAGACAGAGCGCCAAGTGGCAGCTCAAGAAGGAATGACTCACGCCCAATTTTAAGTACCCGGTTCAGATTAAAATTCACCTTTATTTTTAACCCAATACCTGATCCATTACCCTCCAAATCTCTTTATTTTTTTATTATTCATTTTCTTTTCAACCTTCTCTTTCTTCTTCATCAAAACACCCTACCACCTCTATCACCCACATTCAACCCAAAATCAGAAAACCAAAAAGCAGCCATCTTCTTCAACTTCAGAAATTGGGTTCATCAATTTTTTTTAGTTAAGCTTAAGTTACGATCTTATGAATAGTGTTATGAAAAAAATGAAAAAAGAGCTCCAACAATTTGATGAACACAAGAAGAAATAGCTGAAATAAATTGGCATAGAGTAGTGACCAATTTGGAGTCTTCATAAAAAAGGACAAGCAACCGAGAAAAACCCATTCTTTACTACTACGATCTAATCTCATACTACTAAGATCTTCATTTCCTACTAAGATCTTATACTCCATTTCCTACTAGTACGATTTGAATATCTGATTATCATATGTTCCTCTTCTCCATTTCTCAATCATCAAATATCTCCATGGTCATTCAGCTAATAAAGAACTCATTTCATGACTTCAAGAACTATTAAAGAACAGAGAAATGTAGATGATGAGTAATAAGAGTATTCATCTTAGTTTTCTTCGCATCTCTATTCTACAGTACAACAAAATTTAATAGATCCATGAAAAATATAACAAAAACAAAACAATTTGTCAATTCAAAATAGAGAAGTTAATCCTAAAACTTAAAATTTCAGATTTGAAAACCTAAATCTTAAGAAAGAAGTTGAGAAACATTGAAGAATGAAAATTACATTGGGTATAAAGTAAAAGATAGTTTGTGAGAGAGTTTTTGACCAATATTGTCCCTTATCTTTGAAGGTAAGTCTATTTTGGTCTCTCAAATATAACCCTGAGCATATTTAGTCCCTTAAGCATGCTAAAGTGGAGCACCTTTAGTCTCACTGACACAATATGTTCGAAAACTAACGATTTTACCCAACTCTGATTCATGAAGCAAATCTCCTGCTCTGAAGCAAAATATTTCCTCTTCTTTTATTGGATAACACAAATTATCACTTTAATTCCTCATTTTTATATAATGTCTTCTAAAATTTTGACCTTGAAAATATCCCCTTTTGTGCCAGTTTTCAATGAGAAAATGACACTATATAGTCGCTGTAAAAATAATAGCAGAAAAAATATATTAAATTTGTATATTTTTTTTGTATATATATACATTTAAAAATTTCGGTTGATTTTTCCAAAAAGAAAAGTTACAATTTGAAAAAAATAGAGCAGCCAGGATCACTTCTAGGCATATTATTGAAGCAAACGAATAACCAAGTTGTATTATCACTTTT